TTTTTTTTTTTTTTTTTTTTTGGTACTGGGGATCAAACTCAGGTCCTTGTGCTTGCAAGGCAGGTTCTGGAACCACTGAGCTAAATCCCTGGCCGACGAAGGCAATTTTAAGTCAAATCTTTGTATCCCTTTTTGGGAAAAATCAGAGTTCATTCTGGAATCTGGGGCATACATGATTCTAAATGGAGATGTCGGAGGAGTTTCTAAGCTTCATAAAGTTAGATCATCAGGCTCTCCTTCCTCAAAGCCAGGCTACTCCATCAGGCACACACTTGGACACAGTCTGGGCAGCAGTGTGGTGCACTGGTTAAAAGACGGATCCCAGAGCCAAACTACTTGGATTATGGCCCTGGCTTTACCACTTACAAGTTGTACGATCTTGGACAAACCACTTCATTTCTCCATGCTTCAGTTTCCACATCTGTGACTCTGGGAAGATGGTAGTAATAGCATCCTCCTTCGTTGAGTCAATATGTTGTAAAGTATTTAGAGTAGTACCTGGCATGTAGCAAACAGTACTGAAACACTGGCTGTTTTTATTATTTTACTTGGCCAAATACAATGGCCATTTCCCTGTTTCTTACCTGCTTACAAGTATCTTACAAGGATCAGAGAATGAGAAACCAGAGGAGTGGTGTGACTTGATTTTGCAGGTCCCTTTTTCACCCTAATAGGCCAGAACACTGCCAGAGAAGTGTACTTCAGCCCAAATCACCCAGTGTCAATGCTCCAGGAGGCTTGAGAAGTTGCCTGACTCCTCAGTTGCTCTAAAATGAACCAGAGGCCCTGAGAATAGACTACGATTTTGATAGTCAACCGGTAGCCTTCCTGCTCCTCACCAGTGCCCCAGTGCTCTCGATACAGAGCCTTAAAATCTGGTATCACCTGGAAAAGAACAGGTGCCACATTGAATGGACCCTCGGAAGAAATATGAATAACTTCTTTCAGTTGGAAAGAGTCAGATTATAGTGTTTAAATGGAAGGGAAAATTTGGCCTCTCGTCTAAGTCACACGCAGCTTCCCTTATTCCCATTTCTGAGCCTGTTCAATGATTCACAGGAGTAATTCAGTTGTCTCCCCTCTGGTAGTGGTGATAGCACTAGAATTTCTGACTCAGGCCTGCAGGAAGAATAAACTGATTTCCTCTTGAGTGGTGTGGGATCTCTTCAAGCTTGGCACCTACAAGCTGCAAAGAAAGTTAGATGCCTTAAGCTTTATTGAGCATCCAGCTGACGTCTATCAGAACCAAATTCCTAGCCAACTCCTGGTGGTCATGACCTCATTTTCCAAGATGGTAATGTGGATCAACTCCGGACATAATGAGATGATACACTTGAATGATTAACTTTCTTAGGTTTGTGTTATCTATCTTTATTGTGAAATGAATAATACATTCAAAATATTTTATGTCATATATGTGTAATTGACAGAGAAATAATACTGTGAGCACCTAAGTACTTATTATCCAACTCCTAAATTACAATAGGTTAATATTACCTAGTAGGGGCCTGCGCTGAAAGTTTCTTGAAAGGCTGTGTGTGTGGTGTGTGGATATAGATGTATGTATATAGTTATATTTATTCACTATTTTCAGTATTTATTATTTTATACATATATATATATCACATATTTACTTATTTTTTATTGGTGTATGTTTGCAATATATAATAATTTGTTTGGGGGAATTGGTGCATGTATACAGTACATCCTGATCATTTCCATCCATTTATTCCCCTTTCTTCCTTCTCCCGCACCCTCTTTCCTATTTCTAATAAGTATGCCTTTCTGTTTCCTATTACCTCTCCTTAATTCTTTTCTTTACCTATGTTTTGAGTTTCCCATATATTTAAACTTGTTTCTGACTTACTTCACTTAATAGTATGATCTTAAGTTTCATTCATTTTACTGAAAATGATATGATTTCATTCTTCTGGTTGAAATATCTCTAGTATATGTGTGTTAATGTTTGTAAAAGAAATTGCTTAACAATGTTGACAGTTTGACCAAGGAAGGATACACTGTTTTAAGAGGAAGATCTGGATTTGAAACAAGGCATCTCTCAAAGCCTGATGTCGAATCCCTCCACATCATTGTCCAGTCTCCTATACTCAAGGTTCTGAGTTCGATCCCCAGTACCAGGAAAAAAAAAAGTCTAGTTCCAGCCTGCACTTCCAGGGGGTCTTGCTTGGGTGAACAGTGGAGGAGCATAGAGAGGTGCATTTTTTAAGCAGCCCAGGAGATTTTGATGCACACTTAATTGAAGAATGAGTCTCATGCTTCTCCAGTTTTAACGAGCAATACAAATCACCCCAGGGAATGTTGCTAAACATGAAGATTCTGATTCAAAGCTATGGGCCAATGCCTGGGCTTTTGCATTCCTAACAGGCCTTCAGGAGATGCCAAAGTTGCTTGCCTATGGATCACACCTCTTGTAGGAAGTACTGAGTCCAACTCTCACTTATAGTTGAGGAATGTCGGAGGTCCAGAGAAGTGAAGTGATTCGCAGTTAATCATTTGATGGCCATTTCCTGCACATCAAGGAACATACGAGAGAGTGAAAAGCATTCTTTCAGGTAATAATTGAAATAGTACTATTTATTAGGGATGCTGTGTTTGACGCATTAATAATGCGTGGAATATAGCCTCAGATTGCTTATTGTCTGGGGGAAAAAGCCAGTTACCTGAAGTAAACAAAGGCTAGAAGGAAGTGAGGGGGCAGTGATAAATGAAAAATGAATGCAGTATGAAACTAAAGACATGGAGGTTGATCTTTCCCACCTGTAGCATCTTGGATAAGTGATTTAAACTTTCTGGAACTCCAGATTTTCCTGTACAAACTCAAAAGGTTTAAAGTCAGAGATCCCAAAAGCATACCTGCCATTGGAGTAGGAGTAAAACATGAGCGGGGTGTGTTTCTTAGAGACAAAAAACTGGTGGCCTCTGGACTACATTTCTCGCATAGACTTTCAGGTTTTATTTTTAGGAAACAAGTATATTTTACTAATTTGTTTAATTTTAAAAAGTTTTTATTGAGGACAATTTTAGATTTACAGAAAAATTACAAAATGAATACAGAGAGTGCCTCATATAGCCCTCATCCAGTTTCTCCTATTTTACATTACCATGGTACTTTGGCCAAAACCAAAAAATTAATATTACTATTAATTAAACTCCAAGTTTTGCTTGGATCTTACCAGTCTTTCCGTTAATCTTCTCTTTTTGCTTCAGAATCCCAATCAAGCTACCACATTTAGATTTGGTGACTGATCTGTGACAGTCTCCTAGTCTTTCCTTGTTTTTAATGAGATGACTACCTTGAAGAACGATAAGCATTCTACAGAATGCTCTCCATTCTTGGTTTACATGTTGTGTTCTTCATGATAAGGCTGGTGTTAGGGGTTTTTGGAAGAATTTGACAGAAGTGAAGGGTCCTCTAGACATGTTTTTGATGTTCCTTCCTGTGAGAAGCCAGGAAATATTTCTAGAATTTTTACCACAGCCTCAAGTCATTAAGTATTAAAGCTACCAGAGACCTGAAGAGGTCTCTTGGCTCAACTTGCTGCCTTTAAAAATCTTGAACCAGGGTTGGATGTGTAGTTCAGTGGCAGATTAATCGGTTTACCTGGCATGTGTGAGGCCCTGGGTTCCCTCCCCAAAACTATAATAAACAAAGAAGTAAGTAAATAAATACTCCTGAACTGGCTTTGTAACTTGTGACATTTTACATACAAAATAGAATTTCTGCCTTTTCTTGGCAGCTAGTAAACCCGGCAACACTGGGCTTGCCATGGCACCCAGCAGGAACTGGCTAGAGGTCAGTGAACCATCCTCTTTTCTTGATGTGCTCACTGCATCTGAGCCCTTCTACATCCTGATTCCTTTGCTGGTCTGACTCTGAGGCAGTTGGTGTATTTTGTGGTGTGATTGAGCAGTGACAGTGAACCTTTTAAAGAGACTGAGTGCCCAAACTGTTTGGGACATCATCACTGGTGCTGCTACTTCTTTCTGAGGATATGCATGGCCTCTCTGTGAGCTGTTACCTGATGCTCGGCTGTTGGGGCGATGCTGGGGCAGTGCTGGGGTGACTTGGCTCATGTGCCAACAGCAAGGGCTCTGTGTGTCTGCTGTGGCACTCATGACCCAGGTTCACCACCACCGACTTACATTGCAGAAAGACTGCTGAGAGAAGGCGAGGGGCTGGAGTGCTGGGGAAGCCTTTCTAGAAAGGTCCACTTGACCGGGGCCCTGCAGCAACTGTTCTCAAGGGTTGAGATCACTAGCATCCCGGGGGACTTGTTAGAAATGCAGTGTGTTGGCCCCATCCCACAACGACTCAGTCAGAAACACTGAGTCAAGTTGCCCACAGCTCCACAAGCCCTGTGGGGTTTGAATGTTTGCTGGGATTGGAGAATCCTTGCAGAGGCAGGAAGGACTGGGATGTGGAGAGCGGCCGTTCTGGCCTGCAAGGATGGGGAACAGCGATGGACATTCTGTGGGAGGAAGCCTGGAGTTGATGTGGGCTTTGGGCCTGTGGACTTTCAGTGTATACGGACGTGGCCTTGCTTCCAAGTATTTCCACGGAGGACTCCGTATTTGTACGCCCTAGGCTGCCCTTCATCAGCCGCCCCAATACTTGCTACATCAAAATCTCACTAACGTGAATTTGGTAAGAAAAAAAGTCATCGTGGTCTCGGATCGATTAGCAGGCAGTTAACTCCTCAGAGCCAGGCCTTTGTCCAAGTGCAACGTTCCCTGACTCCGAGTTGAGTGAGTTACATAAATAGGAGAAAATGGCTTCCTTCTGAGTCTCTCCTGTCAGGACTGTCTCTCTGCTCCCCGTGTGTTCCAGATATGTGCCGAGCTGTGTTCCACCACCCTGAACTGACCCCTGAGGATCAGACTCTATCCTCTCCCTCTTCTAGTCCCTCCCTACCCACTGCCTCCCTCTGGCTCATTTCTCAGGTCTCTGGTTCAACGTCACCATTTCTAGAGCCCTTTCCCATCCAGCAGGGAATGGGACTTTTCCTTAGATGGGCGGGAATGCCTGACTTTTCGGGACAGCGATTATGTAGTATTCCTATCTGTCCCAGCTCCTAGCACATGCCTGGCACACTTGCTAAGTGATCCGTTGCCCACAAACAAGCAGGGCACCATATAGTCCAGTAGTTATGCATCCTGGCTGTCAGTCAATCAACCTGGGTTTGAATCCTGGCTCCACTTACCTGGTGGTGTGGACAAGCCACTTAATATTGCTATACTTCCTAGAAAGGGATATATTGTTAATACTGGCCACCAGTGTTTTGTGATGCCAACTGAGCTATATATAATACCTAGAGCTCTTGAAACAATCCCCTGCAAGTAGTAAATGCTCACTAAATATTAGCACTAAACTGCTCCTTGGTGATGATGTATTGAACTGTACCGATGAATATTCCAGGTTATATTTTGCCTAAAGGTATTCCATTTCTTTAAGCAGAAAGATTTGTGGAACCCAATAAAAAATAAAGGGTGAAGTTGTGCCTACCTGCTTTTCTGTTTTTCTTTTTCTTTTTCAGGGCAGAAACAAGTTGGGATGGATCAGGTTCAGCGGACAGATTCGGGGTAGATGCATTCTAAAATTCACAAGCATGGCTGCCGTTTAGACTGACTATATGCATTTCTTCCAAACAGCTTGAAGCAAGTGTTAAATCCACTCCCATGGTAGAGACATATGTGTGTGACTCCGAGCTTATTCGTATCTTAGGGAAAGATGCCGAATGTGATCCAATTTTTGTGCATTTTACCTATTTAATCTCGAGTTGGCTGCCTTCTGCGACAGGGTTGTAATTAATATTGTTGTAGAACAGGAGGCTCATTAAGTTGGTCTCATTATGACTATTCAGGTTCTGGGGCTCGGCTGAAAAGGATTTCCCTATTATCAGCCCTGACATATATTCCTAATCAAGCAGGCCAATTCTTTTCTGTCAAGGACTGTCTTCCAAATGGAGATGGTATTTATTCTGACTTGTACTATTAGTGTGAAAAATGTTGCCTCTGCTGACATACATATAGGCCTGTGTCACACGGGTGCTTCCTTAACAAGGCCCACAGAATATAGGAATTTATAAGATATTGTGCTTGTAGGGATGGGATGTCTACTGCATTCATTCGAAAATCTCTGGTTCAAGGAGAAATTTTGAGAAAGAAAAGAAACATTCTATAATTATAAATCTGTTGAATCTTGGTGTCAAAAGAGGCTTTGGTAGTCATTTAATCTCCTACCCAACATGGAAGTTCCCTCTTAGCAATAATGATTTTAATTTTGTTTTTTCTTGATCGCTTCATTTGACAGAGATCATTACATACAGTGTGACCAAATTCATTTTCAGACAGATCTAAGGATAATTCCTTGCTATATTGATTTGAAATTTGTCTCCTTCTTACTTACCCACTGATCCTAGTTCTGCTACAGAAAGCTGCCCCCAAAGTTTGGTCATTCTTCATCAAGAAAGCTTTTCTGAAATGGTTGTAGATGGGGAGGAGGGGAGGGGGTGAAGGGAGGGCAGGGACAAGGGGAAAAAATGAGAACCAAGACCTGTCATGTAGAGGTACAAGATCCCAACAATGAATGTAACTGTACTGTATCCCTAAAATGTACCAATAAACTGAATTAAAGCTGAAAAAAAAAAGAAAGAAAGCTTTTCTGAGTGTTTCCAAAGATCATCTCTTTCCATTTTCATCTTCTGTTCACCTTTTACAGTTTGCCACATTCTTCACCCTCCTGTTCACTGGTTCGAGGTGAGGTACTTTTCAACCTCCTAACATATAGCAACCATCAGGAAAGGAAGCTTTAGGTGCAGTCTATTTAAGGGTCCAAGGAGGGTTTCTGGAATTTGTCCTGAAGGACTATGCCATGTGGCTCCTACCCAGAAATAGAAGTATTGGTCTCTTTTCCTCAGGACCTTGGGCTGCAGGTGCCCTGCTTTAACCATACTACTCACTGAATGCCCTTGGGAAGACCCTTCTGCCTTGGGTGTAAGCACAGCGACTGTGGAGACAGGCTGCCTGCATTCAACTCCCAGCTCTGTTGCCTCCTGTCTGGTGTGATGCTGAGAAAGTTGCTCTACCTCTCTGAGCCAGGACAGGGATGATAACATAGGGCCTAGTTTGTAGGTTGTTGAGAATTAGTGAGCTTGTGCATGTGAGGGCTTAGGAGAGCTCTTGAGGGACACACCATAAAGTGTTAATGATTATTAATAAGCCCTAAAGTAGCCATCTATATCACACTCTTTTGCTTACCTTGAGCTTTGAGTCTTAATTTTGACCCTTCAAGGGTAACCCCAATCCTAAAAAGGGGATGAGCCAGGCAATTTATGGTAATTCCAAATGAATTTGTCTTTTGGTTGAATTCTTTTCCTGAATCCAGTTCCAGTACAAACTCACATTGAGAACCAATCCATCCAGAGCATTTTTTTTTTTTGTACCGGGGATTGAACTTGGGTCCTTGCGCTTGCGAGGCAGGCAGCAGAACCACTGAGTTAAATCCCCGGCACCAGAGCATTTTTTTTTTTTTGGTATCGGGGATCGAACTCAGGCCCTTGTGTTGCCAAGCAGGCCACTGAACCGCTGAGCTAAATCCCAGGCCCCCAGAGCATTTTTTATATAGATTGCATTTCATATGAGAGAGTGAGTCCATAACTTGCTGTTTTTTGAATGTTTAAGCAGAATTATGTCTCTCTCTCTTCTTTCCTATCTTCTTTCCTCAAATGAAAGCTCCTCAGAAATCCAGGATGTAAGTAAGACAGATCACAGATGAGTAGGTCTGTTTGGCAGTTTGAATCTTCCGTCCTTGGCAGAAGCAGCCTCTTTGTTGGGAAGTCCCCAGGTTCATGGGAATACTGGGATTCTGAGTCACATCATGAACCAGTTCTGCCTCAGAGTGTCTGAACTCTAGCCCCAGTCTTTTCACAGGACTGATCTCTCTCAGCAGGTCCATCTCATCTCCACCTGATGTTAGAGATTCCCCCTTCCCCCAGCACCTTCTACCCCGACCACCCATCTACCTCCTGTGGTGATCTTCCCACCTTGGTCCTTCAAATGATTTCTTTTTAAAAATCATCTTCCCCTTACCTCAGTGCTTGGGTCATACTCAGAGTCAATAGCCATTCCTCACATCCATCCTATGGAAGGGCTCCAGGGTTTAGGGCTGGACTAGTAGAGGGACAAGATAGGTGAATGTCACACATTGCTGGTGAGGGCACAGGTGAGAGAGAATAGGGAAGGCTCAGATGTGCCTCAAAGCTGAAGAGGTAGCTATTTAAGTGGCAAATCTCTTTAAATCCCTTGTTCTCTTTGATATTTCTGCAACATTTATTTGATCACTCAGGTTTCATTTAACAAGTGTCTACTGAGCAACTGATATAGCATCATGCACTGCTCTATGCATTGGGCTCCACGAAGGGAGATACACCAGCCCAGTCCCACTGGAGCTCAATTTACAGAGTGTGTGTGTGTGTGTGTGTGTGTGGAGGGGCAAATATGCCT